ATCTTCAAGACCTACATTTTTTGAGAACATTGAAACACTGAACATTGAATTTAAACAAATGAACTTAAAAATGAGGAAKAAATCAACTCACTTCACTGACTTGGCCTACTACTCAACATCCCACTTTATGAACCTCTGCTTCCTTCTGGCCRTACCACCAAGTTTTTTGTGGTGTACCTAGTTTCTTGAGCACATAACCTCTAGGGAAGAGTCCTTCACCAATCTGTTGGATGTGAAGATGGGATTTCCATTCATGGAAMTATTAGAACTTCGCCTTAGAAACTATGCACTTATGTCATCACGCTCAGCCTTCTCCAGTCCAGTATACAATATGTATAGAATTTCACTTAACAAAGTTTGCATAGACAAAGTCAGCAGACAGATCCTTGTCACCATCATCATCATCACTCTCGACTTCTTATGAACTATCATAATCAATGGTGTTGTTAAGTTTAATGGCTATGTCACTTTCTTCTGAGCCACTGTAGACAACAGTTTTCTTYTTGTTCTGACATTTTCACTCTCTTTCATTATTTTTCCTTCTCATTTCCAAACTTTTGTTTTCTTTGTTGTGCACCTCCACCAGCTCCATCTTTTCTGAAATGCTGGTCAAGATTTTAGTTTTCACCTTTTTTTATCAATCTATTTTTTTTCTTCTTCATATATTTTCAAGGTTGCCCCTCTCTCACTGCTTTGTCCATAACCACAAGCAAAGTTGAACCTCTATTTGTTTTTCTTTTATAAACGTGTCATGATGGGTTTTGGTCTAAAATAAAAAATGTCACCATTTAAGTAATAAAATGAAATAAATGTTGACAGTAATCACCAGGGGGCCTTTTGGAACAAATCACTTCCACCATTTTACCCAGATTGTATCATCCAGGAGGCGGCACGGTGGCTCACTTGGTAGAGCTGATGCTTCTCAGCAAGAAGGTCGCCAGATCAAATCCCGGCCCAGGGACCTTTCTGGGTAGAGTTCGCATGTTCTCTCTGTGCMTGTGTGAGTTTTCTCCTGGCACTCCGGCTTCCTCTCACAGACCAAAAACATGACCGTTAGGTTAATTGATAACTATAAATTGTCCCCAGGTGTCTGTCTCTATGTGTACCTGTGATGGACTTGCAACCTGTCCAGTGTGTACCCCACTCCTCGCACTGTGACTGCTAGATATGGGCACCAGTAACCCCTGTGACCCTAGAAAAGGAATAAATGGGTATAGATAATGGATGGATGTTTCATCCAGCTGTTTATAGCTAACATTACGCACCAGTATAGTCTCATATTGTAGCTTACTTAAACACTGACATATGTGTGAAAAGTTTTCAAACTTGTTTATCAGGCACAACATTCAATAAACCATGATCATAAAAATTTCACTTTGGTAAAAACAGGTTTTTGAGCTTAAATCTGCTCATCTCTTGTGCCATGTGCCTCCCTTCTTTACAGGCCGAGTAAAATGGAGAAATGTGGTGTTACATGACCAACTCCATCAATGGTTTTTCAAAATCACTGGGTGGCACAACTCCACCTCCTGGCTCAAATCACCCCACTCACCACAGAGGACAACAAGGACAATGAGACAGTGTTTGGTATTCAGTTCCAATGTCAAACGACTCTATAGTTATCACAGGCATAAATTATGCTTTAGCTCTGACAGGGAATGAAAGAACGGTAGCATTATTTACATCAAAGGCACAACGGGTGTTTTTATGATGAAAAACACTTTTAAATTTTACATAGACACTTGGAAAATTGTAGCAACAAACACCTCAGAAATACCCAACTGCAATATGGTTATAAAGAATCATATTGTGACAAACGTTGTTCCTATTAACACCATCCATCCATCCATCCATTTTCTGTACACACTTCTTTCTTTTCAGTGTTGCGTGGGTCACTGGTGCCCATATCCAGCAGTCACAGTGCGAGGGGCGGGGTACACCCTGGACAGGTCGCAAGTCCATCACAGGGACTCCTATTAACACATAAACCCAATAAGATAATAAAGTAGTTAATTTACTATTTTATATGTAATTAAAGTATATGATGAAGCAAAAAGTTTTTTTTCCAGTGGTGTATTGTTAATGGAGATTCAGCAGCCACATCTCCTGGGGAATTAAGTTGGTACATAGATGTTTTTAGATGTTTTTGATACAGTAGAACAATTTCATCTTCAAGACGGCATGAGGTTTAACAGTTCATGGGCAGGGTGAAAAAGATCTTTTTTCCACAATGAAAGATTTTTTCCCCAGCTTTTTTTTTAAATAGACTCCAAAAGGGGATTCAATGATTCTCTCAGCCATTTTTTAYCACATTCTTCAGGGTCTTCCTGTCAATCACGCTGCACTTTCCTTACCAACTGATGGAGTTGGTCAGTGTACTCTCAACAAGATGTTGTGGATGGCAAGGGGAAACCTCACACTCTTTAATCTTCAGAAAAAAGCCATCCTCTGCTGAGCTTTCTTGGCCAAGTATGAGGTGTTGCATGTGTTCTCTGGTTTCCTTCCACATTCCAAAACCATGCATRCTAGTTTGAATCTAAATTATCACTGTAGGTGCTAGTGAGTAAGTAAATTTGCACAAACATAAAAAGTACAATAAAAAACAGAGAACAACATTTTACTGAAAGCCTGTCTGAATGAAAATGTCTTTAGACGTTTTCTAAAAAAGTCAGTGAAATCTGTGCAGCGAAGGGACAAAGSGGAGCCTCGGTGCCAACCCCATGAAAAGCTCAGTCTCCACAGGTTTTGTAATGAGGTTTGAGGTACCACCAGCAGCATTTGACTTGAAGATCTCAAAGTCCTGGGAGAGCTTTTTAATTTTATAGTCAACCATCCACTCTTTTTTGACTCAAATTCAYTCATATCAGTTTGAGTTTTGGGCTATCAGATCAGTTCAGGACTCTATTTTCATCAGTCTCCACTCTGCATTTAATCACTCAGAATCTATGATTCAGTGCAGTTAGCAGCTTTGATGCTCTAGGTCAGTGGTTTCCAACCCTGGTYCTTGAACCCCACTATCYTGCATGTTTTAGTTGTTTCCCTGCTCTTCAGAAGCTTATCCCTCATTCATACAAATGAGGTGGGCCAAAGCATGAACATGTCTAAAACATGAAGGATAGTGGGCCTCAAGGACCAGGGTTGGGAATCACTGCTCTAGGTCCTAAAACACATGAGAATGTTTTCTTTATTTGGTTTTACTTCAGCTCAGTGTTTAATACCACCATACTGGTTGGTAAACTGTTGGACATGTCTGTCTTCCTCCATCTGTTCCTGAATGAAAAACTTCCTCACTGATTAAATTCATTGAGGGAAAAACCAACCCCTACAACTCCAGCTCCATTAAACTTAGAACTGGCTCCCCTGCAGGGCTGCACACTGAGTCCATTACTGTGCTCACTCTGTACTTATGACTGCTCACCTACATATCAATCCGATACCATGATCAAGGTTGCTGATGATCCCATCAAACAGGATGAGCCTGAGTATAACGGGGGGGGTACAGAGACTGTCAACATGTGCTCAGAAGATAATCGGAATACCACAAAAATGACAAAAGAAATAAAAACTGACTTCAGGAGGAAACTGCATTCAGACCTGTTCTCTTCATAAATTAAACCAGATGGAGAAAGTGCAGTTCTTTAAATTTCTAGTTTACATTTTGAGAGATTTCTCTTGGTCAGCCAACAGCACTGTGACTGTCAACAACATCTGCACTTCCTCGGGGTGCTCAGTACAAGTAACGTAGAAATCAAGCTGCAGGTAGTTTTTCTGCAGAGTGAAGATAGAAAGCATTTTTACCTACTGTATGTCAGTGTGGGTGTGTGGGCTCCAAAAAACTCATCACTTTGGCAGAGAAAATCACTGGCAGTCAATAACTGAAAAAGTTGAGGTGTATTTTTGTTTTAAAGGTGGGCATTGTGCTTAATCCGACTTTTTTAGCTTTATGTCATGTTGTCATTCCCTCATTAAAAATATACATAGTGTAGCTTTTACTCATTCATGCATGTTTGAGAAATGCTGTGGAATTGCCTAAATGCTTGTTGGTACAAAGCACCACCTATTTGTACATACRTASCAYCTCCCTGACTGAACTCCAGGGAGGTGTTCTTCATCCAGGGGATGTGAAACGTTGAATAAAGCTCAGGGAAAAGCAAGCTTATGAGCTTAGTCTCCAGCYGAGCCCCCAACCCCACAAAGCTTTTTTTGTTGACATTATAATGTTAACTACTTCTGAGTCCTATCCTTTTTGGAATAAAAAATGCCTTCATTGTGAAAATGTATCTTTAGATGCTAAGGAGACTACTCTTGTAAACGGCATGAAGCATTGTTGTGAAGATGTACTGAAGTGGRAGTGTCAGAGACGAGAGATGGTTCTTCAAGAATTAGAGGCCTATTTCAAGGTGTTWATAGAGGCTATGATGCAAAGCCAAATTTAGTTTAGATTTATACAATGGTTTTGTAACAACTGAGTGTAGTTACTTGATTGGGCTATAGAATTAAACTACCGTATTTATTCAAGTATAATACGTAAAATTAAATCCATAAAATCATCCATAAAGTTGGGTARAAGTATTATACTCAGATAAATATTTTTACTTACGTATTTTAACTGAAATATCAGCTTCATTCACAAAATGCCTGAGTCTGGAAATGAGACCGCATCGTAAAAAGCAGTTGAAGCAAGCTTACCTCTGACACTCCTTCGTGTTTCAGAGCGAGATAATAACAGATCCAGGCAGACAACATGATGTGACAAAAAGAGGGAAAAAATCAGTCCTGCACCTTAGTAATGATAACGAACTAATGACATTAGCATGTGACTGAGCCGCTCCTCGAACAACAACAAACACATGTTCGTCTGTAATGGTGGCCGTCTACCAGTGTTCTGAAAAAGTTTGTATCCCTAAAAAAACGTTTCCCCACCAGAGGGGGCGCTCACAAGTAGGAAGTGATCTGCTTTTCCCCCACAAGTTGGCCCAAATCTCATGTTAAGCCTCTGACTTTTGTGTTGGCGCATCCTGGTGGACTATGTGTAAAATGCCAAAATTCATATGATGCTCAAAATCATAGTTTGCTGATATTTATTTGTTGTCAAAATACCTTTTAGTAGATATATTGTTAAAATAAAATGAACAGTCCAATGATCATTTTAATAATATGTATAAAGACTGCAAAGGCTGAAAAATCTTGAAGTCTGTATGAAATTGGAGGTAGTTTGAGGCTTAAATTTTGTATGCTATTTAAGCTAAAAAAAATGGGGGGTTGTAATATACCTGAGATCGTATTATACACGAATAAATACGGTATGTACCAGGAAAATACATTATACCCCACTTTAAATGGGTAATATTCCACTTATTAACATGGAGGGGGGTCGATTTAAATGGTGCCRTTCAAGGTTCCTGTATTTAGTTCAGAATTTCTTTGCAGGGTTGAGATCACTCAATCCACTGAAGGRAGCTGATAAACTGTAGACTGTGCCAAATCTTAGGTTTGGGAAAGCTATTTTTGCCCTGAGGAAAACTTAAATGCACTGACTGGAGTTCTAACTGGCACAACCTGCTCAACTGCTATAAAATGGTGATAGGACTCCATGACAATAGTCTATGTGATGCCTGTGGCATTGAATTAGAGACCTGTTTGCACTACTCAGGCCACTGTCTGGATCTGAATAGAAAAAAAAGGAAAAGCATTCTTGGGGACCCCTTTATGGATCCTGAGTGTTTCAAACCTTGTGCCTTTCGTCTGAGGGAAGTGAAGCTTTGAATAAAGCTCAGTGTCTTTTTGGGGAAAGCAATGGGCCCACKTATGAGGCCCCCACTCATATGGGTTCATTACCAGCTCCACTCACCATAACCATAAACATAGGGCTGAGAAACACCATTAAAGACCCTTGCCACCCAGGCTACCATTTCTGAATTGTGACCATTCATCAAACTCTACATGTGTGTAAAAGCATGCACTGTCGGATTTACAGACAGTTTTGTTTTCCTGTTGCCATTAATATGCTTAATGAACACAAACCTRAAAGTTAGAAATGATGCTGTCTGTGTAAACAATCACCAGTTGCACTTTTCACATTTGAATTAAAAACATAAAAACTGCCAGACAAGCAATTACTGTGGCTCATACTTCCTAAAATTTTTACTTTAATTTCTTGTCCCAGTAAACATACACTACAATATTCTATATTTCTACAGATGTTTGTTTTTTTTTGGGGGGGGGGTTATGAATAAAAAATAGTCATATCCAATATAACTGTATGTTTTTTTCTAAAGCTGATAAGAGACAATACACAGCAGGCACTAAATTAGTTTGTTTTGAAGGTGTCTTCTGCCCATCACCCTGGCCAAAGCTCTAAAATCAAGAAGGACTGCTGCCAATGATTTTAATGGTACCGTCAGCTATCCCCAGGAGATAATCAGTCACTTTGGAGAATGTTGAAAAATATATTTTGTCTGAATAATACATTTCTTGTGGCTCTGGCTCAGGCCATTAGTGTAATTAGAAAGTCAGCTTGCATTAAATTGATATGGATGTATTGCCTGGGGATGGAGGAGGAAAGCGCATGTGCCTTGAGTGTGTCGTCAAGTAAATGAGAGTGAGGATGAAATTTGTAGTCAAATACGGGAACCAGACGAGTCATTAATCATGACAAAAGAACAGGACTGCCTCATGCATGTAGCGGACAGCAGCAGTTGTTGAAAATGATGTAAAGTCAGAGTCAAGTACAATTCCATTGCATCCATCAACACAAAATCAAACATCCTCAGCTGCGTAATTACACCAGTTTACATCGAGCTTTAATGAACTGCAGGTATTCCGGGTTTTGTTGGGKTTTTTTTTGTTAGAAGATATTACAATAGTCCATCAAAATGACCACCACAATAAAATCCCAAATGGCTTTTGACAAATGGGGTTGTGCAAAGAAAACAATAATTATTGCTATATTACAGATATTTACCTTTTTTATCCAGATTTCCTCCACTCAGAGTGTCAAATAAAATAGATTAGAAAAATAGATATCTGATTTAACTTATTTCTAATGGTTTTATTCTACCATAGGTTAGATGGTTTTATTTCTTATTTTTCTTGATTATTTATAATTAATGTGTGTGTGTGTGTATACTAGGG